TGAGTGGAAAAAATAATATGTCTGTGGCAGCAATGCGTCACCGTATCTTTAAGATGTATATGGTTTATGTAAATTCACTTTGGTGATGTACGTGTGCTTACTGGAGCTCCCCTGTTCGCTATACATAATAAAACGTGTTTTTACAGCAAAATCACAAATATACTATACTGTTTAGCCTCTTTACACCTTCAACAATTGAACAGTTTACTCTACAGTAGTTCAACAAATGCGATTTTAACACAGGGAGCCCTGTTTTTGGTTTGTAATACTCACATTTGTAAACACCCAGTAGGTGATCCGGTGTTTATGTTTTTCTACAGGAGGAAAACGCTGAAAGAGAGACTTTGTGCATTGCGTTCATATTCTGCTGTTCTGTGGCTTAGTTTCTTTTTTCTTGTCTTCACCACCTGGCTACTGTTGTAAAATGTTGAGAGATTCAAACAAAACGTAATCAATAAATAGAACAAAATAAAAAAGACTGCAAGTGATGTCACTGGAGGAAGCGCAAGTGTCTGAGAGTGCAAGTGCAAGTCTGCAGCCAGACCCTCTTGGATTTCTTGCCTAAGTTACTGTTTTATGAATACTGCGGTTTCGAACGTACTTTTTTCTTCACGCACTCTTTTCTCCAACTATATAGTAGGTAAGTAGGCATATTCCAACGCAACTTAAGTATACGTACGTCCAAATCTCGCGAGAATTAGTGCACTAGCCTACTAATTCTCGCCTACTCTTTTATGAATAGGGGAGAGTGGGGTAAGATGAGCCACTTAATAATTCAGGCTAATATTTAGCTAAATGATTTACATGGTTTTATACATTGCTAAATCACTTATATGCATCATAAATATTTTTAGACCTGGATAAATTTACTTTGATGTAACAGCCATTACATGTGCTATGCTAAAATTTTACTTTGACAAGCCAAAAACAGTTTTTTAAGTAATTGGGTGCCTTCCACTCCTCCCGTGTGTTTCTTCTTTTCACAGTCTGGCAGAAATTATGGGTGGTTTCAAAATATATGGTCACATGACAATAAAAGTGTACAGTTGGCAAGATACAGGGGGTGGGTCAACTTACCCACTGGCTCATCTTACCCCACTCTCCCCTACTTAAGATTCAAACATACTTATTTGCTCGCCTACTATGTAGTAGGGCGGTATGTGGTTTTGAACGCAGCCAGAGTGTCAATCAATGCATTGGAGAATTCAGTGAACATAAATTTAAAGAAACGAAGTTGCTTGTCAGATTTCCCTAACAAGCAACCATATTTTTTAAAATAAGCCCAAAAAACCGCAAACCGGAATTTTTTCACGCGACTTTACAAGAAGAGAAGCCCAAAGTCACGTATAATACGCGGACTTGGCAACTCGGGCCACAAACTATCCTAAAATGGAACGTAAACATTTTAGAAATATTAGACAATAATGAGCTTTTATAAAGGTATCACCTTCGTTTTTGAAGGTTATCCCAACTCCAAATTTTCCTTTGATTATGTCCTTGTTTTGATTAACCAGTTGGGCAAGAAGTAACAGCTGTGCTTGTGTCCAGTTTGGTTTTCTTTTACGTTTGTATGTCTTACTATCAGCCATGATTTTCCTACTCTGTTTAGTAAAAGGCTGTTTATATGCATATTCACTAATTATGAGAAGCATACATGTAAGAGGCTGACAATTAGCTGAACACATACTTGTTTATTAATTAGTGACACTTAGCCTGCATTTTAAAGGTGACATATCATGAAAATCTGACTTTTCCAGGTTTTAAGTGCTATAATCAGGTCCCCAGTGCATCTACCAACCAAGGAAACGTGAAAGAAAATGAACCCAGTAACTTTGTTTTGGTAAGCCTTTTTCTGCAAGCATCTGAAAAAACGAGCGCATCTGATTTCGCTCCCCTAGTGACGTTGCAAAGGGATCTCATTATAATATTACCACCCCTTAAGTTTCCACCCACGGCGCCATCATTTTGATTTCGCAAGCGACAACGGTGTGCCAGTTCTAATGCTAATTGTGATGTATGCGCTTAATGTTTCAGCGCACTAGGAGGCGCTCAAGATCACTCCCGTGTGTATATCTATCTATTGATTATAGATAGATAGATAGATAGATAGATAAAATCCAGAAAATACTTTTATTAATTTGTGTCTATTTACAGAGAATTCTGTATTAGGCATGTAACGGTAAACGTAAAGATGCATATTAAGACTTTTAAGCAATTAAATATTTTTATCACTCACACTGGTAATGGTTTGTCATATCGTTCTTTAATAGTTTGGCCCTTCAGTCATGATTGCACCTTGTGACCCTTCTAATGCAAATCAAAACAACCCTGAACGTCTGTTTAGTATTTATGTGCTGCTGATTGGATCTGAAGTGTTACATCACCACTTTCAAGATGAAGAATGCACTCTGCTTACTGCTGCTCTCATTCAGCCTACAACGTGAGTTTTGACACGTCTATTATCAGATCTAGGGTAAACAGATTCCAAATTGAACCAGTCTTTTCAATCTTCCTTTTAGGCACAAAATGTCAAAGTATGGACTCGGAGTCCATTGAAAGTTGTGAAAAAGCCTGGAGAAACTCTGACTCTGTCCTGTATAGGATCTGGGTCCAGCTTTGGCTGCTGTAGCATGCACTGGACCAGACAACAAGCTGGAAAACCACTTGTGAGGTTGGGACGTGTTCATAGTCATGGCAATAGCCATGACTTCTCAGACTCTTTCAGCAGACGAATTGAAATCACCAGAGATAATTCAAAGGGTATGGTGTATCTGAAACTAGGCCTGACTGCAGAAGACTCAGCCGTATATTATTGTGCAAGAGACTCATTGTGACACAAAGAGTTTGTACGGCTGAACAAAAACCACACTGGCTGTTTTATCTCTTGTTACTAGAAGTCAACAGGTGGCAGCAGAGAATAAAAAATCTGTAAAATATAGCCTGATGAGAATATGCTGTTAAATATGCAGTGAAGTTCACTATAAAAGCTCAAACATTAAAAAGCACAAAGGCATATCTGACTCCTTTAACACAACGTGTGTCTTTTGATGTGTTGATTTGTGGTAGAGGTTACATGTGTTACAGTGACAAACTAAAGACTTTAAGTTACCAGAGACTCTTACAGCAGCAAAATAACCCGTAAAACAGAATAATGACAGAATAATGAAAGAATATGACGATAAAGGAAACAACAGTCTTATTATAGAAAATTATGTAAAATCGATTCATGTCCAGTAGAGAAAAAATAAACAAAACATGTCATAAAGTCCCTAATGAGAGCAATAAATGACATGAAGCCTAACATGAATATTTTTGTAGCATGTAGTTTTGATTGGTAGCTCTGTATGATTATGTAAATCTCCTGTTGCATATTTAAACAGCAGGCATGAGTCAGTGTATACATTCATCTGATCACTAGAGGGAGTGAAGAATCGCTTCAGTTCATTCAAACTGTGCTGTGAAACAAACCATGATCTCTTCATCTTTAGTGCTGCTTCTGGCAGTGATATCCTGTAAGTTTAGTCTACTTTCTGTGTGATACATCATTTTGTTGCTAAAAAGTTTGTTAACAGTTTTTAAGCATCATGCACTCTTATTAACAGGTATTATTTGATTTGATACAGGTATTGATTCATATGAACTCACTCAGCCTGAGTCTCTGACTGTCCGTCCTGATGCCACTCTCACTATCAACTGTAAAGTCTCATATTCAGTTACAAGTGAGCATACAGCCTGGATTCGTCAGCCTGCAGGAAAAGCTCTGGAGTGGATTGGATTGATCTTGAGTGATGGAAGCGTAGCATGCAAGGATTCACTGAAAAGCAAGTTCAGTATCACCAGAGACACTTCCAGTAACACAATAACACTGCAAGGAAAGAATATGCAAGCTGAAGACACAGCTGTGTATTATTGTGCCAGATAAACACAGTGACAGACGCCAACAGCCTCCCTGTACAAAAACATAATCAAATTCACATTACAGTATTTATCACGTTTTGACCTTAAAATGATATTCACTGATGTTCAACAAATCAACAATTACCTAATAAAATAAACAAAATAATTAGCTAAATAAGCACTATAATCAGAAACTATGTTTCAATAGAAAGTCAATAAAATCCATTATATTTTGCATCATTTTGCTCTCATCCCATAAGAGAACAAAGTTTTGCCGTTTTGCTGTTATCTCAGAAGTGGTATAGTAGTTTTCAGCACCGGTTGAGCAGCATTGAAGGTGTCATCATCATTAAATCTGTGTCAGTCAATAAACTGAAGTGCTTATTCTGTCTGTGTGATCTGAGTCCAGGAGGTCTATAAGAGATGTCAGCTGCCTGCTTAAACACCAACAGATGGCAGTAATCTATCACTTGAATTTATCCCGTTTTAGGCTACTGAAATTTGCTAAATTGATTTTCAGTGGTTTTAAACACTTTCCAGGTTGCACTATTCAAAACTGTATGTAAAGACATAATTTTCTGCATAT